TGTACAGGGGGGTGCCTCTCAGGTAAGCTGTATGAACCCCGATGATTTTTTAATGGTGACCTGTTAACATGTAAAACATGCAGAAAGTATGTGTCGATTTTTCTAAATGCAATGTAAATCAACAAAAAACTTGCTGGTGTAAAAATACCAGCAGCTCACCTGCTGTGATGGTGTTGCAGGCTTTTAAGGAAAAGGGTAGATGTCTGGTCTTGGGCATTTGCTACAGTGTTGTTGTTTTCTGCTAAAAGTGCATTGTCATTCAGCTGTTGTACATAGCTACACAAGGAAAATTCCAGGGGCAATACCTGAAGCCCTTATATGCATACTTACCTCTCCTATTCTGTGATTCTCTGTACTAAAGACCAACCCTTCCAGCACAGAATGATACCAAGGCAGATGCTCTAAAGCCCTAATCTATTTTTTCACCAAGGATGCACTATGTTCCAAGCAAACCTTAGAGGGCAGGGACAGCCTTTTTATAGAAGGATGGGTGACTGGTTGTCCTCCATTAGGACTAATCATAAGTTTCCAAAAAGCAGTTTGAATAATTTAAAATGTTACTATACCTGGGAACCTGCATTCACTACATCTGGTCTCCCACAGTGCACAGAACATAGAAATGCAATTATTCTAGTAAATATAAACTGCTAAATACCTTTTTTCATCAGCAGTTAGAGCAGTCTTGTGACTTCTATCAGTGTCCAGTGGAGCACATGTTAAAGCTTGTAGAAGGTGTTTTCATTCTGCTCTAAGAAGATGCAGGACCCCTGAGCTCTGTCTGGACAGCACTGATTGGCCCTGTGCTGATCACATGCATACTCCCAAGAAAAAAAAAACCCTCTCTAGCAATATACACAAAACTGAGCATGTGCAAAGTGACTCCACACGATATGTCTTATCAGGAGAAAAGAGAGTGGCACTGGATAAAGGCAAGGATCAGAGAAGTCAGGATCAAACAGCGTTATACACAATGCAGAGGATTAACCCCTTAGGTTCCACAGTGAGTATAACAAGCATGCTTTACTGCATATACAGACTGATTTTACTGTTGTGGGTTTAGTAACACGTTAACTGGTATGGAAGTGACTTTTCCACCAACACCCTGGCCATGAGTTTAGTCAGTAAACAAGTGGGAGACTGGGAGCCTATATCTGTTTTCTGCTCAAACTACACAATTTAGGGAAGTGGAAAAGAAGAATTACATTACATTATTACATTTGGCGGATTACTTATGTAATAAAGACAAACTGTTGTGTACCAGCCTTTTTTGCCACTTTCCTGTTTCTGTTCTCCATCAGTGCATTGGAAGATAGGGACACTACACCAAAAGAGGATTGAATATTGTGGGCAACAGACATACTTTGGGTATTGATTAAGAATTATACTGATTACATGGATTCCTGAAAGACAGAAGTTGTCAAACAAATCTGACTTCTTTTTATGAGGAGGTGAGCAAAACCTTGGACAGAGGGGTGGTGGTGCACATGGTATACTTGGATTTTGCAAAACGTTTGACACAGTTCCTCACACACGGCTAATGTGTAAGGTAAAGTCTACAGGCTTGGAAAAATACGTATGTAAATGGATAGAAAACTGGCTAAAAGATTGTATTCAGAGAGTAGTGGTTAATGATTCATACTCTGAATGGTCTAGGGTTGTCAGTGGTGTACCCCGGGGTTCAGTGTTGGGACCCTTACTTTTTAATACATTTATAAACAATATAGGGTCTGGGATTAAAAATACCATTTCAGTCTTTGCAGATGACACCAAGCTGTGCAGTGGAATAACGTCCTTACAGGATGTCTCCAACTTACAAGCCGACCTCAATGCACTGTTTAATTGGGAAAAACTATGTGGCAAGTGAGGTTTAATGTTGATAAAGGTTATGCACTTGGGGGCTAAGAACATGCAGGCATCATACATACTAGGGGGAGTACAACTAGGGGAATCAATGGTGGAGAAGGATCTGGTTGTTCTGGAAGATCACAAGCTTAATAATGGCATGCAATGCCAAACTGCGGTTTCTAAAGCGAGCAAAATCCTCTCTTGTATTAAAAGAGGTATAGACTCCAGAGAGAGAGAGATATCATTTTACCCCTGTACAAATCATTAGTGAGACCTCATCTGGAATATGCAGATCAATTTTGGGCACCAATTCACAAAAAGAACATTGGGGAACTGGAGAAAGTGCAGAGAAGGGCAACCCAACTGATAAGAGGCATGGAGGAGATCAGCTATGAGGAAAGATTAGAGGAACTGACTTTATTCTCTCTTGAGAAGAGGAAATTAAGGGGGGATATGATCAGCATGTATAAATACATCAGTGGTTCATATAGTGAACTCGGTGTAGAGCTACTCACCCTGAGGTCATCACAGAGGACAAGGGGGCACTCTTTACATCTGGAGGAAAAGAAATGTAATCTCCAAACATGGAAAGGTTTCTTCACAGTAAGATCTGTGAAAATGTGGAATAGGCTCCTTCAAGAGTTGGATCTGGCCAGCTTAGTGGATTGCCTTAAAAAAAATTATTTCTTGGATACACAGAATTTTACTGGATATCACATTTATAGGTAAAGTTGATCCAGGGAATATCTGATTGCCTCTTGGGGATCAGAAAGGCATATTTTCCCCTGCAGGAGCAAATTGGATCATGCTTTGCTGGGTTTTTTTGCCTTCCTCTGGATCAACTGTGGGTGTAGGATTATACGTTCTTTTTTTTTTAATGGTTGAACTGGATGGACTTTTGTCTTTTTTCAGCCAGACTAACTATGTAACTATGTAACATGAAGAAAAAATGCTTGTAACTGATGACCACAGAGATTATCCAACAGGAAAATGTGCTTAATATGCTTTATAAAAACCTGGAATCACAAACACATATCTTAATGGCAACATATTAAACTTTTTTTTAAAAGTTCAAACTATGATAATGATATACAGTAATAATATACATTGCAAATGAGGTTGGCTATATCATCTAGCAATGTGGAGAAAACTTTACAGAAAACCTAATTTTATGTTTATTGAACCTATTTTTGCTCCCAAGTCTCCAATAACAACTCTAAAGTGATTATAAGGGCTTAAGTTTTTTTTACCTTAATGTGTCTTAGTATGCAGACTGCAGAAGAGGAGGCTTGAGGCTGCTTTGTGCAATATCATTGCCCAGAGCAGGTGATTATATATGTTTGTTATTTTAATTTAAAAAATGCCTTAAATAATGCTTAATCTATGTCTAATTCTGCATCCTAAGTGAGCAACTGACCTGAGATGCTATTTGAGCATTACAATATCGCAATTTCAATCCACTAGATGCAGATGGTTTGCCCTAACGGCATATTGATAAAAAGTCTGTATGATATATTCTAGTAACTAAGAAAAATTCTAATCTTGTATTTTTTCCTTTAGAAATTAATCTGCAAAAAATTATATGATTCAGAGCATTCTATTAGGAGTATGTATCATTGCAGGAAATATTCAAATGTAAGCATTACATCTATTTTTGTTTTGTTTTTTTAGTATCTCTACAGTGTGCTCCCTATATCCTATGGTAAAGACCTCTATTGGTGTAGCAAGTGTAGATGTAAAAGATTTAGGTTTTAGTTTAGTCATAAGGCTGAATTGTTATTTGTTTCATACATAGGAAAGATTTGGATTTACACTACAAAGAGGAAGTCTCATCCCAAAGCTTTTCAAGATTTTACTGACTGTGAAGATGATACACATAAAATAAACAATATTACAGAATCGTAACAGCAGCCAAAAACCTATTATCATGCCAGATATCAAAAACACATCTAATTTAAAATTGGTCAATTCAATTTTATGTGCAATGATGACTCTTGAACCATGAGAAGAAAACAAAGTCATAAAAATATTATATGAGTGAGCCAGTGAAATTAAAATATGGGTATGGCAGTCATATTAAATAGAAATATGACATTCTGGATAGAGTAGTAAATTATACATAGGATGTTATTTGATAATAACAATAATGTGAGTCAGTTTGTTGCCTATTTTTGAAAGCCTTTTTGGTATATAAGCAAATTCTATCACAGTATGCTTAGAGGCATGTACGGTGAATGATATGTCTATAATTATATTTCATATCTGCAAAAGATCCTGGTGAATTATCCAGAGAAATGACAGCTGTCTCTGAGTTCAAACTGATACATTTGTTGGGAGAACTTATACTGGGTGCAGCAACTGCAGCTGGCTTACAATCAAGTATTGTATGTTCTCAGCTAGACACTTTTTTCAGTTGGTCATATATGATGACAGCATGTCATGACTGGCGGTTTTTTACTCTTCAGACACATTGGGGGTTATTTACTAAAACTGAATCGTGCAAAATCTGGCACAACTCTGCATAGAAGCCAATCAGCTTCCAGGTTTTATTGCGCTTAAATACATACAAAAGTATAACAAGAAAATAAATAACAAAACAATAAGAAACAATATTTTAAATCAAAATAAAATCCAGCAAAAACGAAAAAGTCCAAAAGTTCAAATAATCGATAATGTCCAAAACATTTGGACTTTTTCGTTTTTGCTGGATTTTATTTTGATTTAAAATATTGTTTCTTATTGTTTTGTTATTTATTTTCTTGTTTACTTTTGTATGTATTTAAACGCAACCTATTTTTTTTGAAGTTTTGTATATCCTATAAGTTTATAGTCTAGGTTTTGCAGCTTACTGTTTTATATAATTTCCATGGCGCTGGTCCTTTATTTATATATATCCAGGTTTTATTGTCAAAGGTTAATTGAAATTAGAAGATGGTTGGCTACCATGCACAGCTGCACCAGATTCTGAGTGCACCAGTTTTAGTAAATCTACCCCATACTGCACAAATTGATTTAAAGCTAACTAGATAAAAAAATGACTATCCACATACATAGGTTGTATGAATAATTTATGCAAATATATGAATAATGAATCACTGTGGTCATTTTAACCGCCTCCCGCCCGGCATATAAGGAAATGATTGAAGGACGATAGTTCTCTCATTCTGGGAGGATGTCATATGCTGTCCTCCCACTGTAGCTGCACATGCGTGCCCCTGGGGGTGCGCAGCGCAGTGATCGGTGGTGCGCTGTGTCCCTGGGACACAGCGTATCACCGGTTGCAGTAAAGAGCCGATGATGTAGGCTCTCTCATGTGATCAGCTGTGTCCAATCACAGCTGATTGCATGTAAATAGGAAATGCCGGTTATCGGCAGTCCTCTCCTCAAGCTGACAGCAGCGTGATGTCAGTGCCCATAATTGCCACATACCAGTGTACATCAATGCCACATATCAGTGCCCATCAGAGCTGCATTTCAGTGCTGCCTATCAGTGCTAGTCAGTGCTGCCAATCAGTGCCAGTCAGTGCCTTCTGTCAGTGCCAGTCAATGCCACATATCAGTGCCCATCAGTGCCTCATAACAGTTCCAATCAGTGCCACCTAACAGTCTCAGTCAGTGCCGCCTATCAATGCTCATCAGTACCGCCTATCAGTGCCATATATGAGTTCTGCCTTTCAGTGCCCATCAGTGATGCCTTTCAATGCCCACCGGTGATGCCTATCAGTGCCGCCTATCAGTGCCCATCAGTGCAGCCTATCAGTGCCCATCACTGCAGCCTCATTAGCGCACATCAGTGAAAGAGAAAAGTTCCTTATTTACAAAATTTTATAACAGAAACTAAGAAAAAACTTTTTTTTTTTCCAAAATTTTCTGTCTTTTTTAGTTTGTTTAAAAATAAAAAAACAGCGGTGATTAGATACCACCAAAAGAAAGCTCTATCTGTCTCAAAAAATGCTGAACATTTTGTTTGGGTACAGAGTTGCATGATTGCGCAATTGTCATTCAAAGTGTGACAGCACTGAAAGCTGAAAATTGGCCTGGGCAGGAAGGGGTAAAAGTGCCCGGTAGGAAAGTAGTTAAGAGTGCTAATCTATACTAATATAAGTTATTGTTTATAAGAATTGATTCTGTGATCATACTTCTTATATTTTGTCTTGAAACTTAATCAGATAGTATACACAGCTTGAAAACACAGTCCCTGAAATCCTCACTTTCTTCGTGCGGTGATGCCAATATGCAACAAGTGTTGGCTGTCTCTCCATATATGGGCACCTTTATGCTTTCAAAAGCATGTCTACATTATGCTAAATATTCAAGTACCTAATATACTGTATATAAGCACTGTACATGTGATGATCATTCAAGTGCTTTTATCGTCATTTGGACCCAGCTGAACCTGAGGAATTTTAATGACTGATGATAATGCGGAGGTCTGACTGCCAGGTGGTAAAGTAGATTAGGCAGATATATTAGTCTATAACCAAGTGACATAGAAAGCCAGCGAACAGCTGAGAAATGCTTTTGGAATCCAATTGGACCATATCTAGAGAAATATGTATTTTATTGTAAGCTAGTTTAATATACGTTGCTGCACATTTGTGCTTGTAAAATAATGTATTCAGTTATGTATGATTGTTTGAAAATTCTATCTAATGTAACTTGACATTGACTGAATTTAAAACCTGCACATGACAAAATATCACATGGAAACAGAGCAGTAAATTGAGCAGAAGGTAGAGTAAATGGTTGCTATAGTATATCTAAAACCTAAGAACAATTAATTAATATATTGCAGCTTTTCCATTTCTTAGATGCAGTATTAATTGTACTTTTTTCTGGCTTTTTTTCACTTTAATTTTACCCCATCTTTCCAATAACATGCTTTCTGTCCTGGGGTGACAATGATCACTGTATTGTACTGTATCTACAAAGGAGCAGTATTGTCACCCTAGGACAGAAGTTAACCTACCATAAGGGAGCAATAAAAGAAGTTCATCATAAGGGTTGGCATAAATGTTGAGTAAAAACGTTGAGTATGAAAATAACACATTATTATTCGTAGTAGTATGCGGGTGGTACAAAAGTTAATAACTGAGGGATGAGCTGATGGAGAAGGTTTTCAGGGATTGCCTAAAGGTGAACGGATTGGGTTATATCTGGACTGATTTGGGATGATATTTCTTTTTTTTCTACATACGAAGATCCTGAAACATTTTAGAATTACATTAATTAAGAAATACGGTGAACTTTTTTAGTGAGTCTTCTGCGCTTAGGAAATCTGCTTTTTGTTTGTGTAGACTATTTCTTATGTAATTGTTTTATGTTATCTAAGGTCATAATACCAAAAGCTAAAATGTAACAGCCAGTCTTTCCTTTTCATTTTTTTTATGGTATGTGTCAATTTCTCTTCAGTAATTCAGTTAGATGGTACAGAAGCAATGACAAATGCACAAAGTACAGATCAGAAATTGGTTCCTATCCTATATACTAAAGTCATATTAGGCATAATCATGTTTAATTAGTTGTTGTTTGTAAAGCATTTTCCCAGGATCATTGCTATGTGCACCCCAACTGAAAGTGTGTATAAATGAGGTTTGCCATACAGTCCTTAATTATTCAAATACAACATTTCAGTTTGCTTTGAAAAGGGTACCAAATACATTTTAAAGTAGAGATCACCCAATATAACCCTATATTTATGTGGCAAAATGTATCAGAACCGGGCATTTGGCACCTAGCTATATGTTTGTATAAGTGCAGAAATAAAAGCATAACATTGGCATCATAGACATGCAGATATTATTATTGTGTAATCAAATCTGAAAATTCAATATAAATATCCCAGTTAATATTACTTGGCTTCTATAGTCATCTGTATCCCTTTTATTAACCTCGAGATTTGGTATTCTCTTGCAATATAAACTGTTATTTACCTGAACATGTAAAAGTGCTAAAAATCAGAAGTATTCTTGTATTTTGTTCTGTTTTCCTTTGTATAACTTTAGCTTCTTAGTTGAGAAGGCTGCAGTCCCATGTGGAAGAACAGTTCATTCTGATTCATCCTACTAAGGCCTAAAGTATTGTTCATAAATGCTCTTCTCCAACTTTACAAAAACTTTATATTAAAATCAAGAAACTTAGTACAGTGAAGACAACTTTTCATCCTCCCATGAGCTACACAATTTCTACACTGATGTAAGTGAAGGGATGAACAGGAGTTTGGACTGACATCTAGGTTTAATATCTTTGTTGTAACCAAATTAAAGTGCATATGTGACACACAAGATCATTGAATTGCAGTTATTATTATTAGCTAGCTGCATGTAGACATAGGTCAGAATAATAGGTCAGAATAATAAAATTAACTTGATAGTTTTACTGAATTGTTTAGTATAGCAGTTTGATATTGTAGAGCACAAGAGATAAAAACATTCCAAATTTTATTCAATTGTTCTTTGTCATATAATTATCATAGACTCAGTTTTGCATAGTGCTTTATTATTTCAGCATTAACAACTGTAATTTTCCAAAATGTTGCTATTTTTAGCTACTATAAAACACGAGAGATCAGTTTAAAATTTAAAAGCACATTTGCACTTTCCAGGATTTTTTGGAATGTAATAGAGCTTGTATCACATTTTATTTAAGTGTATAAGTAGCAGAATTGTAATAGTCAAATTCAGTTTTTCAAGAAGATTACCATGTAGAACTATAGTTGGGAATAAAAAAAGAGATGGTCTTAATGGCACTGTATACCACTTCAACAGAACCAGCACCATAAACGCTGTAATAAACTATTTATGGAACCTTTACTAATCATTCTGTTAATTCTGTTCCAATCCTTTGATAATGAATTTGCCTCCAAACTGTTTTTCATGCACACATAGTTAGATTAGAAATTAAGTGGTACATTTTAGAAAGGTTCTTTTTTTAGTCCACAGATTATTTACTGAAATAGAATCATAGCCTGTAATTAGTTTTGATATGTAGAGTGTTTTCAGGTCAAAAAATTATTTGTTTTTAAATGGGGCAGTTATATTAAATAGAATATATTTAGAATAAAGCTTTAATTCTAAATATATGGTTTTATAATATTAGATATGTACAGTGATGCACATGGTGCTATGTAAACATATGATAATTTAAAAAATGTAATTACCAAATTCCACATTTATGGAATCTGTTCTCAAAAAGACAATAGCTGAAACTTGGAATTAATGAATGTGTGTATTAGGCTCTGGATATGTAAATAGAAGAAATTAAGTATAATTTCTATTTCACATGAAAAAATCCTTGCTGAGAGCAGTAATTGAATTTGAATTGAATGCTTTAAACATTCTAATTTTCAATGGGTTTTAAAGGATTTGTCTTTAACTTAAATACAAGGTGGTCCACACATATAAAACAATATGAAAGCTTTGAGAGTTGTACACTAATGAAAGCATTAAGCTGCAGGGGATTCTACAAGAACAAATTGCATTTTTATTTCCCCTTGATTATATCAGTCAATCATTGGCTGTGAATTCTCAGCAGTGTAAATGTTCTCCAAAATGTAAAATATTTTTTCTTTAAACACTTAGGTTTATGTGATTAAGGTAGTTTTTTTAATGGTTAAAAATTTGTGAAAGGCAATGATCCTGTGTACTGTATTTATTATCCTATAGTAACCAATTATATTTCAGCTTACTGAAAAGAGATTAATAAAATTTGAGTTCTAATTTCTAATTGAACAGAATCCTGCACTCTTCATATTATTTTTATGCTTTATTGAATGATCCTGGTGCTTTTTTATTAAAATATCTAATTTTTGGCTTATTTCCTTGTGGTAGACATAGTAGCAAATATAAAGAAACTATTTTCTTTCCATCCACGTTCTTTTCCTTATAAACATCTTCAGTTAGTTACATATGTCATGTTTTTCTTGGTTGAGATAATGTTACTATTTTGTAATGATAAAAATAATCTAAATGTATTTAGCAAGAAATGTTTGCTTGTCAGGAATCCAAATGGTAATCCGGAACATCACTCCACTCTAATTGAAGGGGGTTACCACAACCTCAAATAACAACTTACCACAGCTTTATAGATTCATAGATTGCCCTATGATAGATGCACCTGTTCTATTTGTGGCATTAGTAATCAATCCATGAAACTGGATTCATTCTTCATATGTTTGAGTCCCAGTGGTCATTTGTAGTTATGTTGTTTAAAACAAATAAGAGATGGAAATTTGAAACAAACAAGATAATTTCCAGTAATGCATAACAATTTGTGATTAGATGAAGAATCAGTGCAACTTCTACTAACACAACTCCCATTTTCAAGTACAACAACATGAACAGGAGCAGCTATACTGCCAGTTAAGCTTCTTTTGTATAAGGACTCAAATATAGCAATTAGAGGTTATAGAGGAAGCCATGTGGTTATAAATAAAAGTGTAGGTGCAGAGTTACTGCCTGATGTAGGTAAAATGCACATACAAATGATGAGCTTTAACCACTAGCCTACAGGGCACTTATACCCCTTCCTGCCCAGGCCAATTTCCAGCTTTCAGCGCTGTCACACTTTGAATAACAATTGCGTGGTCATGCAACACTGTAACCAGTGGTTTGGTGGTATTTAATCACCTCTGGGTTTTTTATTTTTTCTTAAACAAACCAAAAACCACTGAAAATTTTGAGGAAAAAAAAAAATTTTTCTTAGTTTTTGTTATAAAGTTTTGTAAATAAGTGATTTTTCTCCTTCACTGATGTGCGCTAATGAGGCTGTAGTGATGGGCACTGATAGACTGCACTGATGTGCACTGATGAGGAGGCACTGGTAGGTGGCACTGATGGGCACTGAAAGGCAGCACTCATATGGCACTGATAGGCGGCACTGACTGGCATTGATAGGTGGCACTGACTGGCACTGTTAGATGGCACTGACTGGCACTGTTAGGCAGCACTGATAGGCAGCACTGGTGGGTACTGATAGGCGGCACTGACTGGCACTAATACGTGGCACTGATTGGCAGCACTGATAGGTGGCACTGACTGGCATTTATAGGTGGCACTGATTGGCACTGATGGGTGACACTGAAAGGCAGCTCAGATGGGCACTGATATGTGGCATTGATGTGCACTGGTAGGCACTGAAATGTGGCACTGATGGGCACTGGCAGGTGGCATGGATGAGCACTGACAGCTGGCACTGATGGACACTGACAGGTGGCACTGCTGGGGCTACACAGATCATCAGGGCACACTGATCATCATTGCCCTCATGATCAGTGTACATGTCCCCTCTGAGGGATGCCAATTACTACCTACTCTCCTCTCGAGCTGTCAGCGTGACAGCTCGTGAGGAGAGAAATGCCGATAACTGGCATTTCCCTATTTACATGTGATCAGCTGTGATTGGACACAGCTGATCACATGACCGAGCCAACATCTTCGGCTCTTTTCGTTTATTGGTGATCCGCTGTATCCGAGGGACACAGCACGCCGTGCATGCGTGGTGAGAATGGGGAGGACGTCATATGACGTCCTCCAAGAACAAGAGAACCACCTTGCGCCCGTCATTGTACTATATGGCGGATGGGAGGAGGTTAAACTGTATGTGTGTGTGTGTGGGGGGGTAGCAACATGTTTCTTTGAACAGGAACACCTTCACCTACTTCACAGTCTGTCTTCTGCTAAATTTAAAGAGTGGAAAGAAGGGTGGGCGTTTTTACTAAATTATGAAGCTAGCAAACTATTTTTTACAGTTTCTGCAGAAATTCATGTGGAACTGACAAGTTTTATTACTATTCAAAAAAGTTTTGATTTTAGATAGTGTTGGAACATCAGGTTCTTCTTCTGTCTATGTCACCCATGCCTTCAGAACTAAGAATTTAGCAATTTCTTTCCAATGTAGAAACCTTTAATTAGCACATGAAGCTGTTCCTGCATGGGTCCCCAGACAGCAATAAATACCTAGCAGAAATCATCTCCTTTTTCAAATGTATCCAGATCTATATAAATATTTTTATTGAAGATTTAAGTTATTTCTTTTTTTTGTTTTTGGACAGAGTGGGTAATGTTTACAATCCATGTAAGTTTTTTTTTTTTTAAGTCCATGTCCCACTGAGGAGATTTCTACAAAAAGAAGTCACCGTAAGTGGTGTCCCTATTGAAAGACTTCCCCTCCTCTCATGTTCTGGTGAAAACAGTAATATTTTGGATCAGTTTTTGTCTTTGTGACAGTTGTCTTCAGGACAAATAGAGTGAATCTCCCTAAAGGGACAATAAAGAACATGGCTTCAACCCACCTTCCTCTATCCAATAAAAAAAAAAAATGGTTTTAAATACAATTACCCATACAATTACAGGTATACTAGTCTATATTTTATGTATTATAAAAATATGTCAGCCTCACCTTTACAATAATTCCTGTATAGAAACCAATTAAGACTAAAATACATGTTGGCTTCTTCAACAGCTTTCAAAAGCACGTTCATCCACACTTCTACTATTATATTACTCGCAATATAACAAAGTATATCCAATGTCCGTAACAATGTTGGTATTCTATTAAAGTCCAACTCTGGGAATTAGAAAAAATCTGCCCTTGCAGTGGTAAATGCTGGAGTTGGGCTTTAAAAAGAGACTACAAAGCAGTGGCACAGGCAAGAAAATCTCTGAATGACTATTATGAGAATCTGTGGTTGGAGTTGTTTTATCAACATAACATGTACCTGATGTTATTGCAACACCATAATAATTACATTTTAACAGTTTAATTTTATAGGAAAAAAAATTATTCTCAGGCTCTTGGTAATGTACTTATCAACTTTTCTCAAACTTTCTTGAAACTGAATTTCAACAGTCAATTAGTAAATAATATCAGGATTGCCAACTGCTGTTGATTATAATATGTAAATGTTCTTTTTAAAGGTCACATTGCAACAATAGACTTTGCCAGTGAGTGAAATTTTTAACTGCATAAGGGTTGATTTGTTTAACTGCCTCCCGCCCGCCATATAAGGAAATGGATGGGTGGCGGTTCTCTTGTTCTGGGAGGACATCATATGACGTCCTCCCACTCTAACTGCGCATGCGTGCCCCCAGGGGTGCGCAGCGTGGCGATCGGTGGTGCGCTGTGTCCCTGGGACACAGCGGATCACCGATCAGAGTAAAGAGCCGATGACATCAGCTCTGTCATGTCCAATCACAGCTGATCACATGTAAATAGGAAATGCCAGTTATCGGGAGTCCTCTGCTCACACTGACAGCGCATGAGGAGAGAAGAACCAGTAAGCGTCATTCCTCAGAGGGGACATCTACACTGATCATCAGGGCACTGATGATCAGTGTAGCCCCATCAGTGCCACCTGTCAATGCCCATCAATGCCACCTGTATTTGCCCATCAATGCCACATACCAGTGCCCATCAGTGCACATGAATGTCAAATATCAGTGCCTACCAGTGCACGTCAATGCCACATATCAGTACCCATCAGAGCTGCCTTTTAGTGCCAACTATCAGTGCCAGTCAGTGCTGCCTATCAGCGACAATCAGTGTTGCCTATCAGTGCCGCCATTACGTGCCACCTATCAGTGCCCGTTAGTAAACCAGCTATAGTATGTAGTGTTTTTTTAGTTTATCTTCTTTATTACATAAAGGACTAAAAAGTAAAATGTACATTTGTTTCTAATTAGGTAACTATCAAATATTTAATATTTACCATCTGCAGTAAGCCAGTAGCACACTTCAGTTTTTCTGCAGAACATTTTGCTACTTTTGCTACAGAGCAGCACAGTGGCTAAATGGTTAGCACGTCCGCCTGGCAGTACTAGGGTCGTTAGTTCAAATCCCAACCATGGCACCACCTGCCTGGAGTTTGCATGTTCTCCCTATGCCTGCGTGGGTTTCCTTCAGGTACTCCGGTTTCCTTCCACACTCCAAAGACATCCCAGTAGGTTAAGTGGCTCCTGTCTAAATTGGCCCTAGTATGTACAGTATATGTATGAATGTGAGTTAGGGACCTTAGATTGTATGCCCCTTGAGGGTTAGGGACTGATGTGACTGTACAATATATATGTAAAGCGCTGCGTAAATTGATAGCGCTATATAAGTACCTGAAATAAATAAATACTGTGTTGTGAAAATCCTAAATAAACTGCATACTTTGATCAGCTGTTACTTAGACACTTTCACAACATATGCAGCTGAACAACAACCCATTTTCTCTACTGCTAGCAGATTTGACTTGTATGAAATCCAAGTTAGATATTTACTGTCACTGTCAAAGTGAAAAGAAAGCACTGGGCTTTCTTCAAAAACAATTTTCAAAATATTATTTATACTGAAAAACAATATAATTCCCCTTTAAGTGCAGATTTTTGTCTCAGGAAATGCTTGGAGCTGTAGGATTAGGCATCTGCCTGTGATAGAACAATACATGATCCAAAATAGTCATGGGATATTCAGTCACTAATGCCTAATAAATGAAGTCATTATGTTCAGGTGGATGTTATCTTAACCTTATTGCATTAAGAACTAAAAAAAATTGTTAAATTTCCTACTCAATATTACAATATATAGTTTTAAAGTCAGCATGTAATTAGCTACATAGCTATATACTGTACATACATTTTTAACTTTGCTCTTCAAAAATAAAATCAGTTGAGTATTTTACCAATCGTATAGGTACAGACCAATACATTTTAACTTCTAGTTATCTTCCTTTTTTACTTTAAATTTCAATAAGATACGTGAACATTCAATAAGAGTATTTCCTGGGGGTCCTCCAATAAAAAATTTTAATAATTATTTGCATAATGATCCAACAAATAACACCAAAATTCAGCAAATTATATTCCTTTGGTTTTACTCATACCTGTAAAATCTCCCAAGGGGTGCAGTGAAAATGATAGCTGTACTGTTTTTTATTGCAATATCACACCTGCTGGGAATTCTGATTGCTATAGAAACTAATGAGCATTCTGCCACTTAATGATTTACCTTTGTTCTGTTGAAGTCAAGTCCTCCTTGTGAGAATTATACTGTTTTTGTGACATATGGTGTTTAATTATGACTGATACAACAATAATCATAATAGAAAATATATGTATATGCAGATGTAAAATAAATTACAGATTTGCAATGCATAATTAGAAATGTGTGCTTATTCTTAAAGAAGTCATGTGTACTTTTAGCTTGTTTCCGAGGAAAGTATCATGTTTTTAATATATTTTCTTCTTCTACCGGTATGTCTTTGTTTACTTCTTCATAATAAGAAAGCAGATCTGTCTGACAATGTTGTTTTTTTGTGTATCCATGTAAAGGGCCTACGTGCTCACAGCTAATCTTTTTTCTATTAATGTAAAGATTTTTTGTGGGTTTTGTCACTTTTGTTACAACTTTTACAGTACCTTTGAAAAAGTATTCATACCCATTGAAATGGTTCACATTTTGTCATGTTACAACCAAAAATGTAAATTTATTTTATTAGGATTTTATGTGATAGACCAACACAAAATGGCACATAATTATGAAGTGGAAGGAAAATGATAAATGTTTTTTTTTATTTTTTTACAAATAAATACCTGAAAAATGTGGCATGCATTTGCATTCAGCCCTCTTTACTCTGATACTCCTAACTGAAGTCTAATAGAACCAATTGCCTTCAGAAGTCACCTAATTTGTAAATAGAGTCCACCTGTGTGTGAATAATCTCAGTATAAATACAGCTGTTCTGTGAAGTCCTCAGAGGTTTGTTAGAGAACATTAGTGAACAAACAGCATCATGCCAAGGAACACACAAGACAGGTAAGGGATAATGTTATGGAGAAGTTTAAAGCAGGGTTAGGTTATAAAAAAATTATCCCTAGCTTTGAGCATCTCATGGAGCACGGTTCATTCCATTATCCAAAAATGGAAAGAAAATGGCACAACTGCAAACCTACCAAGACACGGCCGTCCACCTAAACTGGCAGGCTGGGCAAGGAGAGCATTAATCAGAGAAGCAGCCAAAAGGCCCATTGTAACTCTCTGGAGGAGCTGTAGAGATCCATAGCTCAGGTGGGAGAATCTGTCCACAGGACAACTATTAGTTGTGCACTGCACAAATCTAGCCTTTATGGACAAGTGGCAAGAAGAAAGCCATTGTTGAAAGAAAGTCATAAGAAGTCCTATTTGCAGGTTGCAAGAATCCATGCGGGGGACACAGCAAACATGTGGAAGAAGATGCTCTGGTCAAATGAGACCAAAATTGAACTTTTTGGCCTAAAAGCAAAACACTATGTGTAGCAGACAACTAACACTGCACATCACCCTGAACACACTATCCTCACCGTAAAACATGGTGGTGGCAGCATCATGTTGTGGGGATGCTCTTCTTCACAGGGACATGGAAGCTGGTCAGAGTTGATGGGAAGATGGATGGAGCCAAATACAGGGCAATCTTATAAGAAAACC